GCCCACCCCATGTCCTACAAATACCCCCCATCATGGGTCAGTCCGCCCCTCGTCCTTGGAATACAATGACTGCAGGCCACTTACGCTCTCCTGAGACATGGAGGCTGGAGAATATCCTGAAACAAGATGGAGAAAGAGTAAAAACTCCCAGAATGCACTGCAGCTGGCTCCTCCCACTCTGAACATCTGTCCCGCCTCCAACAAACACTCAGCCAATGAAATATCACAAAATATGGCATAGAGCCCAACAGTGATGTCACAACACAAAGCCACGCCCCCGTTATCACCCCGCCTCCCCCAAGACACACACCAGGGGAGCATCTTATTTCCCCACCTCCTGCCTAATAGCTCTGTGATGTCACTACACAAAGCTCCGCCCACATTATCCCCCATCACTAGACACACACACACCCGAGCATTTCCCCTCCCCCAATGTCATCTGCTCCCCTCCTTCTGTCCACCAGCTCTGTGATGTCACTAAAAGCTCCGCCCACATTATCACCCCGCCCCCCCTTCTGCCAAAGCCCCGCCCTGATTATCACCCCACCCCCAAGGAGCATCTCATCTCCCCACTCACATCGGCTCCCCTCCTTCTGTCCAATTGCTCCCTGTGATATCACCACACAATGCCCCGCCCCTATTGTTCTTCCACCCCCATAACACACCCGAGGAGCTTCTCATCTCCCACTCACGTCATCTGCTCCCCTCCTTCTGCCAAAGCCCCACCCCCAAGGAGCATCTCATCTCCCTGCCCATGTGATCTGCTCACCTTACAGTTCCCCCGTTCTCCTTCACACTATCCACAAGTCTCACATAACGGCTTCGCGTCGGCACGTCCTGATGTCTGGAGGAGAGGACATAGAGCGTCAGAGGAGGCGTGGCCTGTACACGGGAGAGCGCACGCGGAAGGTCACCGCACTCACCTAAACAGCTCGTCCGTCACCAGCAGGAGATCGATGGCCAGAGCCTCATTCGCCTTCTCCACGTGTTTGATTCTAGAGGAACATACGAAGAGATGAACGACACGTCCCGGAACACCTCTGGAGGACTATTCCCTGGATCCAGACCTCCAAAATGTTCCCGCCAATTCTCCACCCCAGGAACGTGCACCACCGAGACCCCCTGGAACCCTGCCCAGGACAGGAGGGACTCCGGCCCCCCAGGAACGTGCACCACCGAGACCCCCGGAACCCTGCCCAGGACAGGAGGGACTCCGGCCCCCCAGGAACGTGCACCACCGAGACCCCCGGAACCCTGCCCAGGACAGGAGGGACTCCGCCTCCGGAACTGCAGGAACACTCCTGGTGCCCCCCCCCAATGATTAATATTAGTCACAGCTGTGGCATCGTCCAATGGGACCCGGACCAGATGACCGGCCAGCAGTGGGCCCAGTGGAGGAACGCCGGCATTTGATTCTGCCCTAGACCAACAATGCGGACCAGACAGATGTTCTACAACCCGGAAGACCGGCGCCCATTGTGGTGAGGGGAAGAGAATGTGAGACGGACAGAGGACGCCATCAATCCCAGCATGCAGCTCTGCAGGAGGACCGACCTCCGGATTGGACAACGTCTCCTGGGGCAGAAAGGCCTAGTCCTCCTGAAGGGTATCAGGGAGAAGGTCCACCTACTCCAATCTGATTGCCAACTCTGGAGAATGTACCAGAAGCTTCACCACCAACCATACGGCGGGAGGGTCCATCCATCCAACGTCCGCCCAATCAGGATGGAGGTCGTACAATAACATTAGAAGATGAAGTGTTCGGGGCAGAACCTGAGAAGATGGGGGGGAGATCCTAGGCCGAGGAGGAGAGCCTAGGCGGAGGAGGAGGGGAGGAGGAGATCCTAGGCGGAG